TATTATAGATCGATTGTATAGATTAGTAGAGAATTTCTGTCAGAATCATTACAGACCGATCACAGGACAGAATAATTATAGATTGATTATATAGATCAGCGGTTCTTAACCTTGTTGGAGGTACTGAACCCACCAGTTTCAAATATGCGCATTCACCGAACCCTTCTTAATTGGAAAAATAAAATATGATTTTTAAAATTCAAAACATCGGTATATATATTTATATATAGGTGCACAAAATGAACAAAACCGTTTTTTTTTTTTAAAACATGATTTTCACACAAAAACAAAAACATAATAATGAATATTTACTGCACGAATCATATGAGTCGGTGTGTGGGTCTTCACCTCCGCCGTACCCGTGAGACTGACTCACCGAACCCCTGGGGTTCGATCGAACCCAGGTTAAGAACCACTGATATAGATTGTATAGAATTGATCATGTATATAGTTTCCATAGTTAGTCTGGCTGAAAAAAGACAAAAGTCCATCCAGTTCAACCATTAAAAAAAATAAAAGTGATAATCCTCCCCCCACATAGATATTACAGATCGATCATAAAGGTAATATAGAATTTATTGTATTATTATAGATCGATTGTATAGATTAGTAGAGAATTTCTATCAGAATCATTACAGACCGATCACAGGACAGAATAATTATAGATTGATTATATAGATTGTATAGAATTGATCATGTATATAGTTACATAATTACATAGTTAGTCTGGCTGAAAAAAAGACAAAAGTCCATCCAGTTCAACCATTAAAAAAATAAAACTTATAATCCTCACCCCCCACATAGATATTACAGATCATTGTATAGATAGTAAAGAATTGATCATGTGGGTGGTATAGATTGCTTGTATAGATTAGTAGCAGAAACAATTGAGTATTGACGGGATACTTTTTTTATTTGCACTAACATACAATTTTGAGGACAAGCTTTCGGGGGAATGTTCCTTCTTCAGGTCCCAGCAGTACTGAACACAAAGTTTTAGCAGAATGTTAGAAGAGATGTGGGGGATGTAAAAAAAAAAAAAAGAAAAAAACTCAATTGTTTCTGTTGCAAATGCACTAATACGGCTCCAATCACCTCAATTATAGATTAGTAGAACATTTCTATCAGAATCATTACAGACCGATCACAGGACAGAATAATTGTAGATTCATTATATAGATTGTATAGAACTGATCATGTATACAGTCACATATATATATCACAGAGACGCAGAATATAATATAAATTGTAGGTCGATCAAATACACAGAATGGAACTTCCAGCACAGATGTTATAGATTTATTATATTTATTTCAGGTCGTTATATAGATCAGATGGAATTTGTAGTATTATCATTATTACAGATCGATCATAAAGGTAATATAGGATTTATAGTATTATTATAGATTCATTTTATAGATTGTATACAATTGATCATGTGGAAGTTATAGATTGATTATATAGATTGTATAGAATTGATCATGTATATAGTTCCATAGTTAGTCTGGCTGAAAAAAGACAAAAGTCCATCCAGTTCAACCATTAAAAAAATAAAAGTGATAATCCTCCCCCCACATAGATATTACAGATCGATCATATAGGTAATATAGAATCTATTGTATTATTATAGATCGATTGTATAGATTAGTAGAGAATTTCTGTCAGAATCATTACAGACCGATCACAGGACAGAATAATTATAGATTGATTATATAGATTGTACAGAATTGATCATGTGGGAGTTATAGATTGATTATATTGATTGTACAGAATTGATCATGTGGGAGTTATAGATTGATTATATTGATTGTATAGAATTGATCATGTGGGAGTTATAGATTGATTATATTGATTGTACAGAATTGATCATGTGGGAGTTATAGATTGATTATATTGATTGTATAGAATTGATCATGGAGTTATAGATTGATTATATTGATTGTACAGAATTGATCATGTGGGAGTTATAGATTGATTATATTGATTGTACAGAATTGATCATGTGGGAGTTATAGATTGATTATATTGATTGTACAGAATTGATCATGTGGGAGTTATAGATTGATTATATTGATTGTACAGAATTGATCATGTGGGAGTTATAGATTGATTATATTGATTGTACAGAATTGATCGCACAGATATTACAGAGAATAACAAACACAATAAGGTCGGCGCTAATCCCAAACATCAGAAGGTGAGACATGCGAAGCGTCTCTGGATGCCGATACACGAGATCCTAGAAGTGCTGATAAGAGAAGTTTCCGCGCTGAACACAGAAATACTGAATAATCGATAAATACCATCAACTGCGAAAAATAAAATTCACATAAAACAACAAATAATCTACGCAAGTCCCGCGGTGTTCAGATCAATGATTGACTGAATAGAATAGTCCCAAACTTCTCTGTATTCTATTCAGCTTATCCGCAATCATTGATCTGAACACCGCGGGACTTGCGTAGATTATTTGTTGTTTTATGTGAATTTTATTTTTTCGCAGTTGATGGTATTTATCTATTATTCAGTATTTCTGTGTTCAGCGCGGAAACTTCTCTTTTCAGATATTATAGATCGATCCTATACATGGTGGAGAATTGATAGAATTATTATCGATCGATCCTATAGCTAGTACAGAATTGCTGGAATTAATATCGATCAATCGATCCTATAGCTAGTACAGAATTGCTGGGATTATTATCGATCGATCCTATAGCTAGTACAGAATTGCTGGGATTATTATCAATCGATCCTATAGCTAGTACAGAATTGCTGGGATTATTATCGATCGATCCTATAGCTAGTACAGAATTGCTGGGATTATTATCGATCGATCCTATAGCTAGTACAGAATTGCTGGAATTATTATCGATCGATCGATCCTATAGCTAGTACAGAATTGCTGGGATTATTATCGATCGATCCTATAGCTAGTACAGAATTGCTGGGATTATTATCGATCGATCCTATAGCTAGTACAGAATTGATGGGATTATTATCAATCGATCAATCCTATAGCTAGTACAGAATTGCTGGGATTATTATCGATCGATCCTATAGCTAGTACAGAATTGCTGGGATTATTATCGATCGATCCTATAGCTAGTACAGAATTGATGGGATTATTATCGATCGATCCTATAGCTAGTACAGAATTGCTGGGATTATTATCGATCGATCCTATAGCTAGTACAGAATTGCTGGGATTATTATCGATCGATCCTATAGCTAGTACAGAATTGCTGGAATTAATATCGATCGATCCTATAGCTAGTACAGAATTGCTGGGATTATTATTGATCGATCCTATAGCTAGTACAGAATTGCTGGGATTATTATCGATCGATCCTATAGCTAGTACAGAATTGATGGGATTATTATCGATCGATCCTATAGCTAGTACAGAATTGATAGAATTATTATCGATCGATCCTATAGCTAGTACAGAATTGCTGGGATTATTATCGATCGATCCTATAGCTAGTACAGAATTGCTGGAGTTATTATCGATCGATCGATCCTATAGCTAGTACAGAATTGATGGGATTATTATCGATCGATCCTATAGCTAGTACAGAATTGCTGGGATTATTATCGATCGATCCTATAGCTAGTACAGAATTGCTGGGATTATTATCGATCGATCCTATAGCTAGTACAGAATTGCTGGGATTATTATCGATCGATCCTATAGCTAGTACAGAATTGCTGGGATTATTATCGATCGATCCTATAGCTAGTACAGAATTGCTGGGATTATTATTGATCGATCCTATAGCTAGTACAGAATTGATAGTCCGGATATTGAAGACGACTTTAGTAAGCTCTCCATTGTCCTCTCCTGGGAAGTCTCGAGTCTCTTTGAAGTTCAGGGTTGATGAATATCTTCAGTTTGTGATATTTTCTCATCAGAACTGGAAGGACCGGAATCGGCGTTCTCACAGCCTGCGCGGCGTCGGCGTCCATCAATCAGGGAAGTCAGTCGGTGACATGAGAAGATTTCTTTTCTCAGGTGACACTTTTTTGGACTTTTCTCAACCCAGAATATAAATCATCACATAAAACTTACAAATATCCGCCATCCTCACCCCTCCGCCGTCGCCAGTCCGCCGCACAGACCGCGCCGGACCTCGTGACCATGCCGGGCCTCCTGACCGCGCCGGGCCTCCTGACCGCGCTGGGCCTCCTGACCATGCCAGGCCTCCTGACCACGCCGAGCCTCCTGACCGCGCCGGGCCTCCTGACCGCGCTGGGCCTCCTGACCGCGCCGGGCCTCCTGACCGCACCGAGCCTCCTGACTGGGCTGAGAAGGAGATATCAGGGATCCGTGACGATTGGATGGCGAGGAGTGTATATAATCGTCGCCCCGCAGTGTCCTCGGCGTCATTAGAGGCGAATATCGGCATTGCTGTCATTTCACTGGAGATCGGCAGAGCTGGGGGCTGGGCATGCTGGGACTTGTAGTTCCTCAGGGTCCACCTCCATCCGGCTGCAGACAGATTTTAATAAAAACATTAATAAATACTTACCGGAACGCAGCCTGGATAGCGAGAGGCCCCCCCCCCCAATTCTGTACCATACCGGGCCATGTTAGGGGGTCTTCCCACATCCTGGCCCCCAAAAGGGATGTAGGGGTAGGGGGAGGGCGTTTTTGAAGGTGGAAGACCCCTTTAAAACAAAGGGGCCCCCCAGATATCCATTCTCCCCCAGTGGAATGAGTACATTAGCACCCCTTATTACTCACCCCCCCCCCCAAAAGAAAATAAAAACAAATGAACACACGCCACGGAAAGACATAACAATTCCACCGACCAACATGAAGCTCAACTCCGCCCACTACAATCATCATGGTGAGTGACACCAATAGAACAAGGACTGGATGCATGGCTCCATCTAGGGGGGTGCTGGGGTGGGATAAAACCCCTTTAAGTTGTGCCCCCCCAAAGCCAATCCTAACCTGCCACTATGCTGCGCTAAGGAACTCTGTCCTCTGCCCCGCCATCAGTGACCCCTGTCCTCTGCCCTGCCAGCAGTGACCCCTGTCCTCTGCCCCGCCATCAGTGACCCCTGTCCTCTGCCCCGCCAACAGTGACCCCTGTCCTCTACCCCGCCAGCAGTGACCCCTGTCCTCTGCCCCGCCATCAGTGACCCCTGTCCTCTGCCCCGCCATCAGTGACCCCTGTCCTCTGCCCCGCCATCAGTGACCCCTGTCCTCTGCCCCGCCATCAGTGACCCCTGTCCTCTGCCCCGCCATCAGTGACCCCAGTCCTCTGCCCCGCCAACAGTGACCCCTGTCCTCTGCCCCGCCAGCAGTGACCCCTGTCCTCTGCCCCGCCAACAGTGACCCCTGTCCTCTGCCCCGCCATCAGTGACCCCTGTCCTCTGCCCCCCCAGCAGTGGCCCCTGTCCTCTCCCCCTCTGACCTCCAATCCTCTGCCCCCCCAGCAGTGGCCCCTGTCCTCTCCCCCTCTGACCTCCAATCCTCTGCCCCCTGACATTTTTTGCTGCACCCCACATGGGACAGGCTAGATCGAGATTCCTAGAAGCACTGCAGGTTGTAGCTCTTCATGTTCCCATCGGTTGGATTGTTCCATATTGATGGGGGAGGGGTTCCGGGCAGATTGCTCCATACACGCTCCATGAAGGGTGCAGAGCACACATGTTTATGGTGTAGATGGCAGAGCTGGTCTATAATTTATGGCTCTGATCTCCCGGGAACTTCCCGTCTGCAGGAATAATCCGGCCTGGAATGTTGCGGTTTTATTAGAACACAAAGTTTTCCTTCAATTTGATTTTATTGAGATATTTCTGGTCATCTGTCAGCGCAGACCCCCTCCCCCACAATCCGAAATGTTTTCCTTTCATTGTCTGACCATAGAAGAGTGACATCTGGGGGCTGCTGGTGACAACATCCCCCACCGAGGCCCCAAAATCCCCCTCATTCAGGTTGTTAGCACCTGCACTGCAGACTCTTTGTACAATGATGACAGCTGAGGAGGGAGGGGGTGCAGCCAATCACCTTTCAGCCACCTTCTGTCAGCACTGGCTTCTGATTGGTTGTAATGCGTTGAATCAATTTTCTCCTTTTTTTGCATTTTAGAGGAGTCGGAGCATCTTCCCTCCTAAAACAATTCAAAAACTATCTTGACAAAAATTCCAGGGCCATCAGTGCTATGAGGAACCAAAACCCATGGTGAACCAAAAACCATGGGGAACCAAAACCCATGGGGAACCAAAACCCATGGGGAACCAAAAACTATGGGGAACCAAAACCCATGGGGAACCAAAAACCATGGGGAACCAAAACCCATGGGGAACCAAAAACTATGGGGAACCAAAACCCATGGGGAACCAAAAACCATGGGGAACCAAAACCCATGGGGAACCAAAACCCATGGGGAACCAAAAACTATGGGGAACCAAAACCCATGGAGAACCAAAATCCATGGGGAATCAAAACCCATGGGGAGCCAAAAACCATGGGGAACCAAAATCCATGGAGAACCAAAACCCATGGGGAACCGAAATCCATGGAGAACCAAAACCCATGGAGTACCAAAAACCATGGAGAACCAGAACCCATGGAGAACCAAAATCCATGGAAAACCAAAACCCACGGGGGAACCGAAACTATGGGGAACCAAAAACCATGGGGAACCAAAAACCATGGAGAACCAAAAACCATGGGGGACATAAAAACCATGGAGAACCAAAACCCATGGAGAACCAAAACCCATGGAGAACCAAAAACCATGGAGAACCAAAAACCATGGAGAACCAAAACCCATGGAGAACCAAAAACCATGGGGAACCAAAACCCATGGGGAAACCAAAAACCATGGGAAACCAAAACCCATGGAGAACCAAAATCCATGGAGAACCAAAACCCATGGAGAACCAAAAACCATAGAGAAACAAAAACCATGGAGAACCAAAAACCATGGAGAACCAAAACCCATGGGGAACCAAAATCCATGGAGAACCAGAACCCATGGAGAGCCAAAATCCAGGGGAAACCAAAACCCACGGTGAACCAAAACTATGATGAAGCAAAAACCATGGGGGACAAAAAAACCATGGAGAACCAAAAACCATGGGGGACAAAAAAACCATGGAGAACAAAATCCATAGGGAACCAAAAGCTATGGGGAACCAAAAACCATGGGGAACTAAAAACCATGGTGAACCAAAATCCATGGAGAACCAAAAACCATGGAGAACCAAAACTCATGGGGAACCAAAAACCATGGAGAAAAAAAAAAAACTATGAAGAACGAAAAACCATAGAGACCCAAAACCCATGGAGAACAAAAAACCATGGAGAAAAAAAAAACTATGGAGACGAAAAACCATGGGGAACAAAAAACTATGGAGAGGCAAAAACCATGGCACACCAAAAAACATGGAGAACCAAAAACTATGGGAAACCAAAAACACGAAAGGCCAAAAACTATGGGAAACCAAAAACATGGAGAGCCAAAAACTATGGGGAACCAAAAATCTATGGGGAACAAAAAATCTATGGTTAACCAAAAACCATGGGGAATCAAAAACCATGGAGAACCAAAACCCATGGAGAACCAAAACCCATGGAGAACCAAAACCCATGGAGAACCAAAAAAAACATGGGGAACCAAAAACCATGGAGAACCAAAAACATTGGGGAACCAAAAACTATGGAGAGGCAAAAACCATGGAGCACCAAAAAACATGGAGAACCAAAAACTATGGGAAACCAAAAACATGGAGAACCAAAAACTATGGGAAACCAAAAACCACATAGAACTAAAAACCATGGATAACAGAAAACTATGGAGAACCAAAAACTATGGAAAAGAGAAAACTATGGAGAACCAAAAACAAAGGAGTACCAGAAAACATGGAGAACTAATAACCATGGAGAACCAAAAACCATGGGGAACCAATAACCAAGGAGAACCAATAACCATGGAGAACCAATAACCACGGGGAACCAATAACCATGGAGAACCAATAACCAAGGAGAACCAATAACCATGGGGAACCAATAACCAAGGAGAACCAATAACCATGGAGAACCAATAACCATGGAGAACCAATAACCAAGGAGAACCAATAACCATGGAGAACCAATAACCATGGAGAACCAATAACCAAGGAGAACCAATAACCATGGAGAACCAATAACCACGGGGAACCAATAACCACGGGGAACCAAAGGAAGAAAAGGAGTCATTTTTCCGGAGAGGAATGACACGGGGCTGGAAAGTAAACATGGAGGAAAAGACACGCCTCTCCATTCTGATTGGCCGTAAGGTGAATCCTGCCTGTATCATTGGTAGTAATCATCTGATGACAGGAAATGACGGTGAGCCGCCGGTGTGGATAGGAAAGGACCGTTTCCTGCCTTCCATGGGGGGATGGGGGGGATTTACTGCAGGGAAGCGGCTCCACAGCTGAGTACATGAGGGGAAGCTTCACTTTGCCAAGAATACCCAATCACAGGCAGGGAAATAAAAAGCAGCACTTTGCTCTCACATGATTGGTTGCTGGAGGTCAGCAAAGCTCCGCCTCAGGTACTAAGTTCTGGAACAACTGCCCTATCAGAGTGCTCCGCCTATTTGCCCTTAGTAAGCCCCGCCCACATGTCTCCTATGTCTTCCTGTATGACATGGCGGCACGGGGGGGGGGCGCTGCGCTGGGTGGGAGAAGTAATCTGGGGTGTCAGCCGGGGGCCACCGACCACATGGCTTCAATGGAAGACGCTTTTCTGAATGTGTACAGCTTGTTCCACTGTCTGGGGCCCCGGGCCACAACCACTTCCCCTTCAGACACCAGTAGCTGGAGTCTCAGATGGTCGATGACGCTTTCGGGAGGGCGGAGCCGCAGTTCTGCGTTTTCCTTCAAACGCTTCGCACAGCGAGAGATGAAATGTTTCCTGAACTTCTGCCGTCCAGATGACACCAAACATCTCCTCTCCCCTCCGGCCCGTCCGTGGGGGTCCGCAAATCCCACAACCCCCCACGCTGGATCACATGGCGGAATCTCTCGGTGTCACCAATCTGCTCCGACTGTGACAGTGACACCCAAACCATGGGAACGCCGCGGTCCAGAGAAGGTTCTGGAAAGAAGAAGGGAGGACGGGGAGGGTCGATGGAAACCTGAACTGGAGGACGTTCGCTGTACTCAGCATCATAAACAATTGTGCTGCTGATCTCCTGCAGCCTCTTCACAGACCCTTCCCGTCTCCATACACCCCAGTGATGCTGATCTCCTGCGGCCTCTTCGCAGCCACTTCCCGTCTCCATACACCTCAGTGCTGCTGTTCTCCTGCAGACTCTTCGCAGCCACTTCCCGCCTCCATACACCCCAGTGATACTGATCTCCTGTGGCCTCTTCGCAGCCACTTCCCATCTCCATACACCTCAGTGCTGCTGATCTCCTGTGGCCTCTTCGCAGACCCTTCCCGTCCCCATACACCCCAGTCCTGCTGATCTCTTGCATCCTCTTCACTGCCACTTCCCATCTCCATACACCCCAGTGATGGCCCCAAGGCATTCCTTAGGACAGTGGTGGGCAACCTTTTTTTTCAACTGAGCCAAATCTCGCCAAAACCACAATTGAAATTTATTTTGAGAGCCACATTTTTAAAACTGAAAATACATAGGATGGTACACTGTTTTTAGTTTCAATAAGTTTTTATAGTAATTCATCCCCCATATATTAATTCATCCCCCATATAGTAATTCATCCCCCAATATAGTAATTCATCCCCCATAGTAATTCATCCCCCATATAGTAATTCATCCCCCATATAGTAATTGATCCCCCATATAGTAATTCATCCCCCATATAGTAATTCATCCCCCATAGTAATTCATCCCCCCATATAGTAATTCATCCCCCATATAGCAATTCATCCCCCATAGTAATTCATCCCCCCATATAGTAATTCATCCCCCATATAGCAATTCATCCCCCATAGTAATTCATCCCCCCTATAGTAATTGATCCCCCATAGTAATTCATCCCCCATATAGTAATTGATCCCCCATAGTAATTCATCCCCCATATAGTAATTCATCCCCCATAGTAATTCATCCCCCATATAGTAATTTCATCCCCCATATAGTAATTCATCCCCCCTATAGTAATTCATCCCCCATAGTAATTCATCCCCCATATAGTAATTCATCCCCCATATAGTAATTCTTCCCCCATAGTAATTCATCCCCCATAGTAATTCATCCCCCATAGTAATTCATCCCCCATATAGTAATTCATCCCCCATATAGTAATTCATCCCCCATAGTAATTCATCCCCCATAGTAATTCATCCCCCATATATAGTAATTGATCCCCCATAGTAATTCATCCCCCATATAGTAATTCATCCCCCCCTATAGTAATTCATCCCCCATATAGTAATTAATCCCCCATATAGTAATTCATCCCCCATAGTAATTCATCCCCCCTATAGTAATTCATCCCCCATAGTAATTCATCCCCCATAGTAATTCATCCCCCATAGTAATTCATCCCCCATAT